AATAACGAAGGCCAAGTTTCGGTGACTGTTAAAAGAGAGGTTGAACTAATTAGGTGCCATCAAGCTGAAGTCAAGCCGACTGAAAGAGTTGATGATGACGAAGTGGAACCAGGTGTCGATATTAAAGTAGAGCAGGAGAAAGATCAAGATTTGAAGCCAATGATTGATTTTCTAAAAGCAAGTGTTGTGCGCCCTGCTTGGGAGAAGGTGTCTAGTCTAAGCCCTGTGACAAAGCACTATTGGGTGCAATGGAACCAGTTAAAGCTTGCAGATGGTATTCTTGTACGGAGATGGGAAACTACCGATGGGAAAGTGACGACCTGGCAAATGGTTATACCGAGAAAGTTACGGGAAGTTGTGCTGCGTCAATCCCATGATACTGTAACGGGAGGACATCTCGGAGTTAAGAAAACATTGAGTCACCTGCGACACAGATTTTACTGGATAGGTATGAGACAAGATGTGGAAGAATGTTGCAGGACATGCAATACATGTAGTGCTAAAAGGAGACCTAAGCATAAGGGACGCCCAAATGATGAAGAGTTGCCTGTGACTATGTCAGAGTTTGTGGAAGTGTTATCGGAAAGGATGGATGATATTCACCATCAAGTACGTACAAACCTGAAAACGTCTGCTGATTCGATGAAGTTAACTTATGATAAGAGATCTACTGAAGTCAGCTTTGAACCAGGAGACAAGTTGTGGTTGTATAATCCCAGGAAGACCAAAGGGAAGTCTCCTAAGTTGTCTTCTTCATGAGAAGGCCCATATAACATAGTGGATCGTCTCTCAGACGTGACTTTCCGGATAAAATGTGGTCGGCGAGGTAAGCCAAAAGTGGTGCATGCCAACAGGCTTTGGCGTTATCACGGTCCAGGACATTTCAGTTGGGACGAAGTGGACCACAGAACAAATGACGCTGCTGAAGACGTGACACCTGAAGAAGCCACCATCGAAGAAGAAACTCTACTCAGTTTTGAGAACGGGAACGGTGAAGCTCTTGATGAAGTTACTACCACTGATGTGACTGTTACCGATGATAGGACATTTCCTGATGAAGTAGATGAACCCCACGTGAAGCAAAAGCCAACGAGACGGAGACCAGTACGGAAGAAGATACGTCCCGTATAATTAAGAGACTTTGTTGAATTGTAATTTTGTGTTTGTAATTCTGTACATTTTAATTAAGTTATTGTTATTGGTTTATTATATGTGGTTATTGTTCGGGACGAACAATATTAAGGAGGGGCAGTGTTGCGTCAGCGAGTCACATGACTAGTGTGACGCCACGTTTCTAGAACTATCCTGTACCTTGGCGAATGCTCTAGTATTTACTAGATATAGGGTAGTCTGGTATATATGAGAGGGTGACAACGTGACGGAGTAATGTAATATGTGTGTAGGTAATGAGTAATTGAACTGCAGTCAGAGAGAGACGTATTGTTGAAGTTAACGTTCGTTGTTATAGCGTTTGTTTTAGCGCGATTGTTGAAAATGACGAAACTTTAGCGACACAAGTCCTTACTTAATAAAACTGGTTTATTCTTTCCGAATATAACTTTACGATACACTTGGAACGAAGTTACGGAAAATCAATTAACAAACGGAGACGTAACAGTATGTTTGTTTTATTAGAATAATCACCACGATACTCAAGGTGAAATTTAAAAATCTTAAATAAAATACAACCTCAGCTCATTGAGACCCGTGTGTCCAAATCACGCATTCATTTTTGCATTTGTTGGCCAACGTACATATAACGAATATAACTAACTGAACTTTAAATCGTATTTACTAATCTCAAACCACAAGTGCAAGCCCACTGAAGGAATAAACAAATAAGAACTTATCCAACGACCCCCATTATCCAGTACTTGACGCTTACCTGTACAACGGACACTAACCCTCCCCTCAAACGCTTAGAACTGCGCGAGATCATTTCAAAACATATCCCATAATATCTCAAATGAATAGTACCTTTCTTAGACTTGTACCTGTGGCTTTAGGAAAGAACCTGAACGTGTAGTAATTTAAAGCATCAGTACGTACCAACTTTGTGAGCTCCTCTTGTTCTTCGCCACTCAAGTCTTCTATTTTGCTTACGTATCGCATTACGTAATGGTCTTTACGGTCCTGATGCAACAGAAGAATAACATCGTCTTTAAAAGCAGCAGCCTGGAGCAAACGAAGCGTTAGCAATTTTACTTCAACTGGCCACAAGTCTTCTAATAGCACTTTTCCTATAAGAAAATGATTGCAGGTTTGAATTTTAACAGCAGTCCTTATTAGGCCTTTGGCGTTTCACAACTGGAGGATAGCCTATATTTTGTTTGCTTTTTTTTGTGGATAGCAGTCATACATTATCTTAAATATTTCTAACTGGCTAATCACGATCAAGTTTCTATTTTGTTTCCAGTCATTTGCAGCCTTATATTAAACTGAAATAAGTAATAACGGCTGTGGATCTAATTGATAATTAATGTTTACTTTGACATTTTCAAAAGTTATCTGATCCAATACAAGAGTTACACTTAGAACATATAGCCACAAACATCTAAAGCTTACGAGTTCATACAATAGTTATACTAACCAATCAGATCCAAGTGTGTTGCACCCAGTGCCCAGGCACCACTTTCTGTCAGCATGTATTCTTCCAAATCCCGTAGAGCGAGCTTTTCTTCTTCATTTAACTTGTCTTGAATGGCTTCTACGAATTGTTTAGTTGCTGCTACTCCCTGATCCAGTAAATATCAACAAATACTTCATTAAAAATCATAAACCTTACGCAATTAAAGAATTTCGTGTAAAAACAAAAAGAAAGAAAATAGTCATAAGAGTTTACTTGTATTGTGAAGTTTTGAAACTTGTTTCCAAGCACACGTCGTACTTTTGTTCTCATTGCCATTTATATCTAATCATACTAACACTATTTTAACTACAATATATTTTTAATTCATTTTAAAGTAGCATGAAATAATATTTTATATATTTTGGTTTAACCCACAGCTTCGATACAAAATAATTGTTTTGTCTGTTGTCCAACAAGTTAATGTTACAAAATAAAAACACTGTAGGGTTGGTGGTGTTGCACAATTATTATAATCCCCTGAATTAATTAATTCTAAAGCATTTTAATACCTCGCCTCAATTTATTCAACCTAACATTATTTTTCAGCCATCCATTGAATAGCTCGGCAGTTATCTTGACACTTATATCACGTCAATTATCTTAACACTTACATCACGTCAGTTATCTTAACTCTTAAATCACACCAGTTATCTTGACACTTACATCTCGTCAGCTATCTTAACACTTACATCACGCCAATTATTTTAACACTTGCATCACGTCAGCTATCTTGACACTGACATCTCGTCAATTATCTTAACACTTACATCACGTCAGTTATCTTAACACTTAGATCGCGTCAGTTATCTTAACAATTAAATCACGTCAGTTATCTTAACACTTAAATCACGTCAGTTATCTTGACACTGACATCTCGTCAATTATCTTAACACTTACATCACGTCAGTTATCTTAACACTTACATCACGTCAGTTATCTTAACACTTAAATCACGTCAGTTATCTTGACACTTACATCACGTCAGTTATCTTAACACTTACATCAATATTGGTGTAGATGACAGCGGGTTCCTTAGGTGCTTGTGTCTTCTTTCTGGGAAGTACAGAACTTCCAGTGTCTTCATCTCGTTCACCCTCCGTAAAATCCCGATGATTTTCTTGTGTCGCTCCTGAAGCTTCAGAAAGTCCCGAGGTTTTGCTTCTTGCTTCTGAGTTCTCCACATCTTCTGGTTTGGTGCAAGGTGAGTTGGGTTGTTCCTGTGTTTCATGCTGTTCGTTTTTATTTTCATCCTGTCTTGATGCTTCCAGCAATGAGTCATCACTGGCTTGGTCAGCCATTTTTCACGGAAATTTACTCTATAATTATTTTCAATTACAGATATTTGTCTAAGAAGTGATGAAATGTCGTGTTTACAAATTCACAAATTGCTATTGGTTGCCTTGCGAACACGAATACGATCTAAACAAAGATTGGAGTAACGCTGTACGTAAACAAAATTCGAAACCAGATTTGATGGAGGGGAGAAAAATGGATTCGTCCTTTTCAATTAGTTCTGTTTTTCACCTGCGAAGGAAGAGTACGGAAACTTTCAGAAATACTAAACAACACTAATTTCGGCTAACTAAAATAATATTGAATAGTTTGGCATGCACTGATGATTTGAAACATAAAGAAATTTCATTGTTCATTAGTAGTAAAGCACCACCCAAAATAAGTCACTGAAGTGATTAGCGCGAGCATTTGCATCCTTCATCTTCGTGTGCCAGGCTCTAAAATAAAATCTTACTTCCGCATCTCTGAGTTTTTTACCATCACATACAACACGTGCACGATTGCCACGGTTAAGTGCTACAGATAGCTAGACTTCACGAGCGCAAGGACGTCTTAAATTCGTCAGTGAAGTATTCTCAGAACTCGATCCAAAGTTTCTTTTACTTTCTGAAAGGTGAATCAACTCTAATATTTGGTCGAACACCATAATAATGCTTATCTTCAAAACATATTCGAAAAGACCGATGGAGGTACTCGAGGATCATCAAGTGCTCGTGGCGTTTCAATCGAACACCACGATTACCACTTTTTAAATATATAAACAGTTAGTGTTGTTGCCCAAACAAATATTGTTCGTACTTCTACTCTAGCCTTTCACACACAATCACAGGTGTCGTTAGGTGCTTAAAAGGTTCGAGGCTCGGGCCCATAGGCGCGGGAATTTTCGGCGTTTCAGTATGATATTCATCATGGTTTTCTATTCTGATTTTTCAAGACATCAAATGGGGATTTGGGGCACTGTCAGATAGAATCGAGGCACGATCCTCGTGTGCCAGCGCCTAGCGACACCTCTGTACATAATTCCCTTGACGCTTTATTTAGTATTATCGACTTCTACGTGGTACACAAATACAAAATGAATTGTTTATTGTTTGTAAATAAATCTCGCGTAAAGCAACACTAAAAGCCATCCTTACATAGCCGTAGATAATTTGAGACTGACACACTAGATGGAGGACTTGTGCTTTATAACACTCACTGCCAATAATTGGGCTACTTTAATCGCATAGTGGATGTTGGCCGTTATTCTTGTAGGACATCCACATCTCCAAAATACGGAGCGCGTTTTTGTGGAAAGAGCTGAGAACAATGAACCTTCGAATTCACAAATTGGACAAGCTACTCACTTATCCACGTCAGGCCATATAAGTTTAAATGGTTAAAGCATCGTTTATTAGTTATTAAATATAGAATTTAGTATTAAAAAAAGAAACAAAAATCAGAACATCTTTTGATATTTACTCTTTAAGCGTAATTACGAAACTAGTAATATAATCTAGACTATTAAACTGTTTTGCAAATACCGCATGTGACATCATCATAAAAGGAATAAGCGATATACGAGTATCAGAAGTCTCTTACTATTAAAAAAAGTGATTTGTCATATATTATCTTGTTTTTGACATGGTATTTTTTATCAATAGGGTCATATCCTAAAGGATATTCGTTACATGTTGTGTTCATGATTTTTTAAGTCTTTGAGGCGACCAACACATTCGTCAGCAATTAACAAAATAACACATTTAACTTCTAAGTTTATAACTGAGTATTGATATTTTAGAAATGAGCTTGAATTAATTAAGTTTTTATTTGTATGAACGCATCAAAAACGATGTTTCGACCAATACAGAAGAAATTAGAGTAATTAAGTGGGCAAAAACGTTGTTAAAAAAAACGTAAAAAGAAATCCTAATCTTAGTGATGTATATTGGGGCATGCATAATTAATCTTAATAATTATAAAATTTTCTAAAGGAAGCTTCCAGAGAAAACTGGATTATTACATTTATACCTAAAGAACAGCAATTTAAAGGACTGGTTCCGACAATGGAAATAGTTTAATATTTAACACTGCATTGAAAGCGAAGAAATAGCATGAAAGTAACAAATATTAAAATAATCAAGTAGGTGATAATTTTTTGTGAAATGAAGGGATGGGGATGACCGGTGAAATGGTCTTAGCGCCCTCTAACGTCAACTGAAGTGGTTCACAGCACTGCCCAAGGCATCATCCTAGTAACCCTCATCTGAACCCTTTCTAACAATTGAATGTTTTTCCCAAGGAAAGAATGAAAAGAATACTCCAAATGAGGCCTAACCAGTGACTTATACAATGGCATTATAACCTATTTAGACTTGTATTCAGTATTTATGTATGTACGCGTTCTTTCATGATTAAGTAAAAATATCATTTCTCAAAGAAAGTTCGCCCCCCAGTAGCATAGCGGTATGTCTGCGGACTTACAACGTTAGAATCCTGGTTTTGATACCCGTGGTGGGCAGAGCACAGGTAGCCCATTGTGTAGCTTTGTACTTAGCTTAAAACAAACAAAACAAAGAAAGCTTTTAAAAGATGTAATCTTACACAACATTATAATCTATACACAGTGATTACTTTCGTCGATACACAGGTGAAAATAAATCACATTTACGCCAGGTGGCGCGACCTTCTTAAACTTCATTATAAATGTTTGACTTCCGTAATATGCGTAGGTTAAGTCTGTTCTATTTGTTTACCATTAAGCACAAAGTCACACAATGGGCTATCTGTGCTGTGCCCACCACGAGTATCGAAATCCAAGTTTTTGTACTGCTAAGCCGCAAGTGAGGGGGAGCGCTAGATTAAGACTAGAAATAATATTCTGAACTAATTGAAAAATAAATGTCTAACTTTCACCAGATATTTCGAAAACACGATGATACTGGTTAATTGATACAATTTATTCCTTTATTTAAAACTCAACGTTAACGCCCTTGAACCTTTGTTGTTGTTGTTTTTTAACCACACTTTCTATTGTTCACAGAAATTACGAGATGAAATCAAACGAAACGAACAATTTGTCGCAAGAAGATTAAAATAATCGTCTAACAGTTACATAGAACACAGCACAAAAATATTTTATGTGAATAAAGTATGAAATATTTCACATTGTCCACTTACCTTTGCGAGATACAACTCCGGTGTCTTCACGCGAACAAGGCAAAGTAAGAAACACGAGCTGAGCCAAAATAGTACGTTTATGAGTAGGCACCTAAACTTGGCAACCCAGAAAAAAGTCTAAAAATAGATAACTCGTCACTGTACCGTAAGAAGAAGTCATCAGTTTCCAGTTTACGTTCTGGATGGCTGAATGCTTCGTTCTTTCGAATTTCAGAAAGATATTTCACCTTTTAAGAACTAGAAGTACATGGTATTTTTTACTCTTAGCAGTTTGCTCTTTTAGAGGTGACGTGGGGGCGGCAGATCCCACATAAGAGAGTTTTGGCCCCATACCCCCCCCCCCCCGAGCAGCCCACACTTTAAGAATTTTGAATTTTTCTTACATCTGACGCCCACTGACATGAAAGTGTTAATTTCTTTAATGGGGGTGGGGTCAACACTATGTTGATGATTAAAAAGAATAAATACACACTTTTTAAAAGTAGAAAAAAAACGATTTTTTTTATTTAATACCGCTTGACCCCTTCTTCCCCCAATTAACTCTTTCCTCCGTTATGACCCCCCCCCCAAGTAAAAAAGAAATCCTTGAAACGTCACTGTACTCTTTTATTTTGTGACCACTGAATACTCCTGTTATTATTTTAAAGACGATAAAGATCGAATAATTCCACGTTCATGACTGATGTATTCTTTAAAATTAGGTGCAGTATTCTGTGTTTCTTGTAAATTATTTGGCGGCAACAAACTCAGTTGACTGAAGGTTTTCGTTTCTGATGACATATAAAGAAACAGAAAATAAATTTTAATCTCACTAGAAAAGCAGTTTACATAAGTAATGCCTT